AAAACCCTCTCGTTACTCCGCTCCTGAACAGGCCAGAAAAGGCTAAAGGTGGTTGTGAAACCTTTGCCTTAAAGTCAGGCTTATTTAGCGTGCAGCAACGCGCTGCTGTGTCTGCAGGATCTGAGGGAGTTTCCCATTTCTGAATTGAAAAACGTGGTGTGTTTTTTTTTGCTTTTTCTAGAATATTCAGTGGAAAAATCAGCTAAGTGCAGCTTAGAGGCTTTCTGGTCCTCCTTCTCCTGGGTTTAGAGGAAGGCTCAGAAATTGCATCGTGGGGAAACACATGGCAAAGTGAAAAAAATTCTCTGGCTGGCCAGTTGATGTTGGTTTTAATTTTTGAGGCATGAAAATAGCGGGTAGAAAATAATAGTGCACTTAGTGTAATTTGGTATCTTGATTATTTGTATTTGATTTCTCTTGCTGTCAGTGTGACAGTACCTGCTGTTACTTTATATGGTATAAAATGTGGGGGCTTTAAATTCCTGATCTCATGTTTAGTATGGAGGAATCTCTGAGTTTTATATCAGCTAACTTGGGCAACTCTGTAATATAATTTCTACTGGAAGGTGTCCTTGCTCATTGCAGGGGGTTGGAACTGGATGATCTCTAAGGTCCTTTCAACCCAAACCATTCAGGGATTCTTCCATCTTCCAGAACAAAATAATTGAGTATCTTCAGACAGTCCCTTGCCCTCCATCCAAATTATCTATCTTGACCTCATCTGGTTTTGCTGCATCTGAAGAAAGGATCTTTGCTGTATTTTAGTTTTGATCATTTGAAGGGTGGCATATTATTAATTTACCAAACATCATCACTGTTTATGTCATCTCTGTTAACTGTGCTTATACATGAGGCAAAGTTTCCCCCACAGTTGTCCAGGAAAATATCTATCTGTCCTAAAGGGATTTATGACCTGGAAAACCCAGCACTGTGCAGGAATAGTGTAAGTTTGTGGTTTTGGGTGTCTGGGTCACGCCTTTTAAGTTATTTTGCCCATCCATTCCCCATGGAGTTTTAAGCTCTTGGATTTTTCTCTCTTTATTTTATTTTCCTTGGACTCCCTAGTAAAAATTACCCACTAGCTTGTGTCATGTAGACTTGCCATGCTCTTGTTACCTTTGTTGTGTGTAATAGGTTGAGAAAGAGAGAACATTCAGCTGTACCAGGCACAGACAGATGTCTTCAGCAGGCCTAAAATTCCATTTGTGGTTTGGTCCTGGAATTTTAATGCCAGGCCCAAACTCTGTGTAATTGCACTGTGTTGTTACTGTCCTGCTGCTTTTTACACTGTCCTTGTGATTGAAAGGCTCCTCCAGCTGTAAATCAGTTTTGTATCCATCTGGAGGAGAGGCATTTATGCAAGTGCAAGTCATCCTTACCATGAAGAAATCTTATCTTGGGTCCATTTTTTTTCCCCTCCCATTATTATTGTTACAAAGTGCTTGGATTTCTAGGTGGTTTCTGGAGGCTTTTGTTAAATAAATCTGCAGAAGCAAGTGAATGAACTCTCAGCTTCCTTGTCTGCCATCTATAATTTATTTTTAAAATCCTTAATGAGAACAAGACGTGGAGCTGTCTTTGAAACAGAATTTTGCATCTGCAGCACTATCTGCAGAAAAATAGTGGTTATTGGTAGTAACTGGCTTCTGTTGACTTCATTTAAATCACAAATGTTACAAGTAGAGGGACTAACTGTCTGTTAGTCACCTGGAAGACTTAATCTTAGTTTTAAATCTAGAATCAGTGGTTGTAAATTAGGAGTGAATGGCCAGAGTGCTCTAAGCTTTGTAGTAGCACAGCAGGCAGTTGAGGTGCAGTGAGATACTCAATGGGTTGTGCACCACCACCACACTGCTCAGCTCCTTCTGGCTCAGCTAGAAATGAAAGGAGGTTTGAATATTGAACCCTTTTCATTTCTTAAGCAGCTTTTATGATTTCTAGGAGGCATTCCATTTGATGTGGTATTATGGGATTTTTTTTTTTCCTTCCAGTTCAGGGTGTGATGGTGGTTGATGTTTAACCACTTAATAAAATCTCAGCAGACACATGAATTAATTTAGCCTTTGATTCTTTTGCTCTGTTGTACAAAATACCTGAGGGTGTTGTCTGATAGTGGGAGATGAAGGTGAGGGGGGGAAAATAGGCAGATTTATCTCTTGCCTCTCTGTTATTAGCAGATAGAGCTTTTACTTTTGCTTGTAGCTCATGCCCCACAGAAACACCAAATTAACAGGGTAGGAAACCTGTAATTCTGCAGCAGAAACTGGTGCTGCTGCTTCGTGTGGATGGATCAGGGGCAAGGGAGGCTGGAAGGGAAATGCATGAGAGGCTGGAGTTGGCATTGGCTGCCCTGCACAAAGATGAGGCAGCTGTGCTGGTGCTCAGATTCTGGCACAGGGGAGATCAAAATCCTGCCTCGCTTTCTGCCCCCAGAGAATCGGAGTTTATTTTGGAGCAGAGCTGAGAGCCTGTGAGAGTGTGAGTGTATGAGTTCTCTGGAGAGAGGGGTGGCACTTAGGCAGCCAGCAGGGACTTCTGCCTTAACTGGGCAGCTGAGGGAAGGTGGAGGGAGGAAAAGGGATGAATCAGGCAATTTGGGTTGCTGTTGATCAGTATTAGTTACTCACCCAAGTTGTCGTTTTGTCTTTGGGATTTTAAAGTGAACTTTCACTGTTCATATTGACAAATTCTCTTTATTTTCAGCTTGGACAAGAACATAACTAAGCCAGGCTTTACATGTTTTTCTAGTTGCTTTCATTTTACTCCACGGTTGCACAGTTGGATTTTCACCTGAAAATTATTTTACTGATTTCTGCCCCTCCCCAGGAAAGTACCCCCTTTGTTTCTCAGTAATTTGATAAGAAATATTATTAATTACTTGCAAGTAATCACATTGTTCTGTAGGCTTAACATTTTACTCTGAGCCTCTTGAGAGTTGCAGCTGCAATCACACAAAACAAACTATGCCTTGGAGTACCTTGTTGGGTTAATATGGTTTTAAATTAGCCTTTGGAGGAGTCGACTCTGTCATTAAATTATTGTGGCTGTTTCTTCATAGCTTTATAAATTCACTTTGGCTGTTGGATGCATTTGGATCTCAATGTGTTGGAGTATGTTATTTTTAAAAACTGAAACAGGGTCTCAAGCCATGTAGATAATAATATAAATTCTGATGGTCCATTTAGCAACTTTTGCTTTCTCTCTGACAGCTATTTAAGAGTTGCCATTTATAAACTACCTCTAGAACATTGAATTAATGAAATATTTATTACTTTGCTGGGACATTTACTATCTTAAACAGTTACTTTTATCCTTTCCCAAGCTCCAATAATCATGTGGAAAGTGTGAGCATTTAAGATAATTTTTGTCTTATTTCTCCCAAGAAAGTAAAACAACTGATGTTCTGTGTTTGGCTTTTTTTTTTTTTTTTTATGAAAGCTCTTTTTGAAATTTTTTTTCCTCTCTTTCTACAGATGGTGATGGAATTTCCTGATAATGTGCTGAACCTCGATGGACACCAGAATAACAGTGCACAATTAAAACAGTTCATTCAGGTAAGTACCTACTCCTGTTTTTTACTTTCCTTGGGTTTGTGCTTTTGCTTCTCAAGAGGTTGTGACTCCTGGAGTGACTTAAGACACGTCAGCACCTGTGAGCAATCCCATGTTGGTACCAAAGTGCACTGGGCTCCTTTGTTCCCTGGATTTCACAGCATTTATTACAGGTTGTCCTGTCAGGAGGCAGTTGCTGCACGTCTGGTTAGGACTGAAAACTTAACCATGGAAACTACACTTTTCTAAATACATTTTGATTCTTATTTTCCTAACTAGTTTTGAACTGCTTTTTCAAGTGGAAGTGGGCATTGCTTAAGGTTGGGTTCCTGTGATTGGTGCCGTGCCAGGGTAGAATTCACGTGCCAGTTTATACTTTATATGTAGTTGAGTAGTGAGAGATGGTTTTGTGGTACCCCTGGAGCTTTAATAACAGAAATAAAAGTGCAGCCCTGGAACACCTGTAGCAGCTGCAGGGCTGTGCCCTTGGTGTCCAGAGGAGCAGCCCTGTTGCTGCTCTGCAGTTGCACGTCCCCTCTCGTGCTTTGCCAGCATGTGCTGCATGTCAGACAGAGCTGTGCTGTGAAAATAGCTCACTCCTGCTTTGCTGTGACTGGTGCCATTAATTACAGGAAAGAGGATTATTGCACAGTGATATTGCTTGTCAGATGATTTGATGGGCCTGCCTCCAGGAGCACCAACCTTAAATGTTACCTGGTGATAGCTCTATTTTCATAATGTGTTACATAAAAGGAGCTGAAAATATTTTCTCTTTTCAGCTGATGTATTGACACGTTCCATGGGTTTGCTGAGTTCTCTCATGTTGTGGGGCCTTTTCTTTCTTTCCCCAGAAGTTGTGACAAGGCATTTCTGCACTGGGAGTGTTTTGAGTGGTGTGATGTGACAATAATACAGAAAATACTATCGTGGCAGAACGTTCCCAGTGCAGATCCAGCTGTGCTTTGTGCAACCAGGGCAAAGTGACCCTCAGTCAATAAATACACTGACAGGATTCTGCTCTGACAGATGATGTTGGGAAGTGCCAGTGGTGCTGACAGCCCAGGTGTAAATGTGTGTGTTGGAGTGTGAGGAAGGGACTGTCTCTTCTGCAGAGCTGTGCTAGTGGCAGTTCAGTGTTGATGGAACAGCAGTGAGAAGGACTAGAAGGGTATGTGCTTTTTTATGTGTGCCTGGATGTGTTTGACAGGGGGACCAGGAGACACATCTACAATTGTTTATTGATGTCAGCAATATTAGAAGGTGTTGTCTTTAATGTTCTATGAATAGCACACATGGAGTGTTCACTACTGAAGTAGAATGTTTCACCCTGAGCAGTAATGTGTGCTTTCTTTGGTTTCAGCTGTTAGAATTGGAATGGGAACTGGCATTTAGTCTTCCAGGAAAAATATTGTTAAATTGTCTTGGTCTGAGCAGAACAAGTCTCTTGTAAATGAGATTTCCATAAATGCCAGCGAATTCATGAATTCCCTTTCTGTGTGCCAAAGATGAGTGTGAGAGTAGAAGATGCAAACTCGTGAAACCCTTTCCTAGAACATCTGTGCTGAGGTGGAGGAGAAGGGTTTCGCGATCGCAGCGGGGACAGGCGACGTTCATCCCGAGGCAGCACTGGCTGGTCGGAGCGGGAGGAGGAGGAAACAAGAGGAGGCAAATATTCTGTGCCTGGTTTTTTTAACACTGGCCCGTGTGGCTGTGTTGCAGAGACACAGCATGCTGAAGCAGCAGGACCTGAACATTGCCATGATGGTGACGTCGCGGGAGGTCCTGAGCGCCCTTTCCCAGCTGGTGCCGTGCGTGGGCTGTCGGCGCAGCGTGGAGAGGCTCTTCTCCCAGCTCGTGGAATCTGGGAATCCAGCCCTGGAGCCCCTCACAGTGGGGCCAAAGGGGGTGCTCTCTGTGACTCGCAGCTGTATGACTGATGCAAAGAAACTTTATACACTCTTCTATGTGCATGGGTGAGTGTCTTGGGACTGCCCGGGGGAAAGGAAGGCTGCTGTCTGTGCATTTGTCTGGGCTGCCTTCCTGGGGACACTAAATTGTCACATCTTGCATCTTAGAGTACATCCTTGTCATAGAATCATAGAATCAGCTGGGTTGGAAGGGACCTCTGAGATCATCAAGTCCAACCCTTGATCCACTGCTGCTGCAGTTGCTAGACCATGGCACTAAGTGCCACATCCAGTCTTGTCTTAAAAGCCTCCTTGTCTTTTATATCCATGTTAAACTAGTTATTGCCTAAACTGGGAAAAAGCAAACCCAACACTTAATCTGATCTTCATATCACCAGTTGCAATGCCATGATTGCAGTTAAAAGATACCAATATTTAAATATTGGCATCTATAAATATAAATATATTCGGCCATTAATCTGGCACAGATACTGTGGGGTTTTTGTGGTGTGTGGAAGAAGAGTGATTGTTTGCCTCGCTACTTGGCATGGAAAAAATAAAAGAAAACAATTAATTAATACCTGCCCACCAAAACTTTCTGTTCTTGGGTAGAAAGGTAACCCTGAGAAAGTGAAACCTTCTGGGTTTGGTGAGCACAATAAATAGCCCCAGTGCCATTAGTTTCTCAGATGTCAGCAGAGCAAACAGTGAGTGCTCAACACGCTGTGCCTTGGCCTTCCAGTTGGCTTCAGCTCCTTCTTCTTGCTCCAGTGAGCAGGAAAAGTAGGAGAGGTTAGTGCAGAGCTGAGGAGATGGAGATCTGGTAGTGTAAGAACAAGTGCTTTCCAGAATCCTAAACTGGTTACATTTCTTTTTCCATAGGTCCAAACTGAACGACATGATTGATGCAATTCCCAAAAGTAAGAAGAACAAGAGATGTCAGCTACACTCCCTGGACACACACAAACCAAAACCTTTGGGGTAAGTTCCGATTCAGTCTCAAATATTTTAAGAACCAAAGTATTGATGATAATTTATTTTTAAGCATTGAGATCAGTTCTTACACGATGATCTGTTTGCCAGAGTTAGCTGGATTATAGCAGACCCAAATGGGGGAGAGGAAGAGAAGCACCAGGAGTTTTGGGCATGCTCAGGGCACGGGTGGCTTCTGCACTGTGATGGAAAGACAAACTGGTTCTTATGCTCTAGACCAAAAGGATTGATCAGCAGATTTTCTCACATGGAGGTGAACGAGTACATGCTAAACAAATATACATCATTTTGCTTGGGATTATTAAAAATGCCTTGCACAACTGTTAATCAAGGGCTTTATTGTGGTCGGGTGCAGGGTTAAAACTGGGACTCAATAAAATGTGTTTTCTCAAAATGTGACGGCATGTTTTGAATACACCACTGAAAAATATGCATATATGCCAACTGGTTAACCAGAAAAACACTCCCTGTAAATCTGTTGTGGATTTTGGAAGTGGTGTTTTTTGTTGGGTTTGGGTTTTTTTGTTGTTGTTTTTTTTTTTTAATATGATGACCAATAAATTGGGCTCTTGTGCTTGGCTGGAGTGTCTAGACCTTTTTTAGTCAGTTGTGTTCTGCTCCTGGTTGAGTGTACAACCTGTAAAAGTTGGTTTCCAGTTACAGGACATGTATTTTTCTATGCAGATTTGAGTCTCTTTGGGTTCAGTTAAATCCCCTGGGATACCAGGGATATGGAATCTGACACTCAATTTTTGCTTGTGCTCCCTCAGCACAGTGGTAACTAATAATTATCTCCTATTATATTTTGGTTACAGGCCTTTCATATAATTAGTTTAAAGCTTGTGTTACACAGGATCATGAAGGTATAGGGGTATATATTTTTTTTTTTTTAATAAAGCAAATTCATAGCATTATGAGAGTGGGTTTTGTTTTTTTTTTTCCTTATCTTTAATAAGTTTAATATTTTCTGTGTGAGAACACACACCGTGGAACCTGCAGTTGGCATTTTGAGCACAGCAGAACAGTTCTCCAACTGAATGAATAGAGAGGAGAGCGCTGCCTTTATTTCCTCAGTTCATGCTGGAATAAATCCCCTTAGTGTTTTGGATGCAGATTAATAGGGAATATGTGGAAGAGCACTATTTTATTACAGTGCAAGGAGAACTTTTGGCTTTCTCAGGTACCGTGGCTCGTGGGCCATCAGGGTGGTTTGCTGCAGAAACATGACTTGCACTCCCTTGCTCAGTCAAACCCCTTTGTGCTGGGCAGAAGTGCCCAGGGTGTATCAGCACTGATATTTCTCCAAACAAATCTTCCTGCAGTGGCACAAACCCACTCCAGCTGTGCCGTGGAGGCATCCAAGGGAATTGTCTCTCGGAACAAACCTTATTTATCAACGTAGAGCTACTGCTCTGCTTCTGTGCAAGAAACTCCTTCAGATGAGTTGCATCTGTTGGGCATTTCATGCACACAAAAAGGGCTTTGAGTTGTAATTGTGTGTTTAATTAGAGGGGTTATGTAACCAGCTAATTCCACTCGAGGGTTGCTTGCTGTGCTCAGTTTCAGTGTCCCTGGGTCATTCATGGCTGCTCGGTGCCATTTGGGGCTCAGGAGCATTTTAAACTCTCAGAAGTGCAGGCCCTGTGCTCTGGCAAACGAGATCATGGCATATATAAGTACTTCAGTTAGGAAATAGAGGTGCTTCCTCCCATTTTCCTGCTGTGTTGTATCCATCCGTGAGCTCACACAGAAGTGATGAAGTGTCAGGTGTAGACAAGCCTGTGAGTAAACATGACATGTGATTTTATGTTTATTCTTTGCTCTATAATTTACTTTTAGCTTATCCAATGACTATGTCATTTTAGTATTTTTCTGGCAAATTTTTTACATTTAATATAGAGTTTTTTATGGGTTTTTTTTATGGTAGTAGACATGTGGAATTTGGGGGTTTTGTTTTGCTTTTTTCTTTTATTATTTTAGTGAATTATCTTATGAAATTTAATCTTAAAACTTATGTATGTTTAAAGTAATATTCTGAAACATTACTACTGGTTTTCAGCTGTAACTTTTAAAAGTCGTGACGAGTCTGGATTGTAAACGTGGACAGCAAAATTTGCATCTCATGATGCAGACTTTCTGACTCTCTGACCCAGACTTTCTTACAAGTTAAGGCTTAACCTGTAGAGAATTCAAAGTAAAATAAGGAACACAGCAGCATTTTCATAGGATTTGCTTAGGAAAAATAACTAGTTCATAATATATATATGTTATAGGTCTGAAAAATGTTTGGTAATACTATGTGACAGTGAAGGGAGCAGTAACAGACTCAGTACAAAGAAATTAAAAGCAGTTAAAAGTAGAGAAGACAGGAGGAGGAGGAAGGAGAGCAAGTGTAGCATCATTTTCTGCTATGGACCTTCCCAGGGAGCAGTCAGGTAAACCAAAGAGGCTTTGCTTTGCTTCTTTCCTAACCCCCCCCAGGGTAATGTGCAGCCTTTTGTCTCCTCTGATTGTTTTGCAGGGGCTGTTGGATGGATGTGTGGGAGCTCATGTCCCAGGAATGCAGGGATGAAGTAGTTTTAATCGACTCTAGTTGTCTTCTAGAAACGTTAGAAACCTACCTACGAAAACACAGGTATGTGAAAGGAACAGAGGGTTCCTTTTCAGCAAGACACCTGCAGTTTAAAAAATGCAATGAGTGAGTGATAAGTGTGTTCACACATCGTTTAAATGCGTGGAGGATTCTTATGCCAGCCTTTAAAAACTGAAGATCTTAGCTCGGTGGTGACAGAGGAACCCTGCAGGTTGCATTGGGGCAGTGGATGAGACAAAGATGGTGAAATGTTCTTTGTGTTTTACCTGTTGCTCCAGGTTATGGTGGGGGAAATGTGGAGACCTCAGGTGAAGTCATAGCTGTTTGTCTCCATTATTTTGGTTAGGATTAATTTACAGTTTAATGTGTTAAAACTGTGTATATTCATTCACTCTTTCACAAGTAGCCCACTCCAGGATTATGCTCTTAGGCTTTCAGGGAGTATGTGCCTGTTCAGCAGCAGATTTTAGGCTTGGTGTTGCCTGTAAATCACTGTTCTAAACCAGTTGTTTATGACTTGCAGTGCTGGTGCTGTTAAGTCCCTCTTGCAGGGCAGAAATGAGGCACTAAATTATAGTTGCATGTGTGCAGTAGCTGCTGTGCTGATTAAAAAGTTTTCGTTTCCAGCAGTCTCAAGGTTCTGATATGAACTGTGGGGGCACAGATGGGTGTGGGGGTGGCGGTGCTGTGGAAATAACACTTTGGAAACAAAATAACTTTAATCTCCTGTGACATTAAACAGGGCTTTGGCAGCGTTCCTGCTGCTAACCTGCAATAATATTGCTGTTTTCTTTGCTTTCACCACCGAAACTAGGCAGGTACCGTAGTTCTGTCACACAGCAAAGTGTGTTTGACTTGGTGTTGTCAAGCTGGACACACTAGCAGAGGGAAAAACACCATCCAGGGCTGGCATGGAGAGCCAGTTTTTCAAGCTGAAATGTGAGCAGCTTGTCTGACTTGCATTTTTAGAGTAATGCAGCTAGAGGTTTTGTAGCTTCTTGAAGGTTACTCCTCTTATAACATAGAATGAGCTTAATTTGGTTGTATTTTAATTATAACAGACTTTGTAAGTGTGCTCTTCTCACACATGAGCTGTCACATGTTTAAAATGAATGCGTGGTGTTATAAATAAACCTTGTTTGGCTATCAGCACAGTAATCTAATAATTCAAAATATGCTTAAAGGTGTTTGTAGTGGAAACAAACACTGCTCTTGTACAGCAGGGGCAACAGAGGAAACTTATTTCTTATCACTTGAGTACACTTTAAATAATTGCTGTAAGGTAACTTGGAGTGTGTTCCTTGAGAGGGATTTTGTCCTGGCTTGTACTAAGGATTCAGCTTGTTCACTGTTAGATTTGTGATCTTTGAATGAAGGTGCAATTGCATATCCACATCCATGTAGGAACTTCTTCATATTAACAATTAGCTTACCTTTTGCTTTGGAGCATGAAAGTTTTGATCCCCAGACTTTTATGTATGGTAGGTGGGATAATTCATACAGGCAATTTATTACAGAATCCCAGAATGAGCTGAGCTGGGGGGACCCACCAGGATCATCGAGTCCAACCCTCAGCCCTGCACAGGCCCATCCCCAAGGGTCACCCCCTGTGCCCCAGAGGATCATCCTCCAAACCCTCCTGGAGCTCTGGCAGCCTTGGGGCTGTGCCCACTGCCCTGGGGAGCCTGGGCAGTGCCAACCACCCTCTGGGGGAAGAACCTTTCCCTGAGATCCACCCTGACCCTGCCCTGGCACAACTCCAGCCATTCCCTGGGGGATGTCCCTGGTCCCCCCAGAGCAGAGCTCAGTGCCTGCCCCTCCTCTGCCCCTCTGGAGGAACTTCTAACTGCAGTTACAGCCAAAATCTTGTTACTTTCCCTTTTGAAGTGCCACAGAGCTCCCGTGCCCCTGTTGGAGCGGGGTCAGACGGTTGGTCAGGAGCTCAGCTGTGCTGTGCTTCCCCCAGGTTCTGCACTGACTGCAAGAACAAGGTGCTGCGTGCCTACAACATCCTGATCGGGGAGCTGGACTGCAGCAAGGAGAAGGGTTACTGTGCTGCCCTGTACGAGGGGCTGCGCTGCTGCCCCCACGAGCGCCACATCCACGTGTGCTGCGAGACCGACTTCATCGCCCACCTCCTGGGGAGGGCCGAGCCCGAGTTCGCAGGAGGGTATGAGTATGTAGTTGGCTAGAGTGGGCTATCTAGCGCTTTGCTTCTTTATTTTATCCTTCAGTGTCTTTTGCCAAAGTGGTTTTTTGTGCCTCCTGGCTGCGTGGTGAACCCGTGACTGTGAATGTTGGGAGACTCTGGAGGTGGCGCTTCGAAGTAGCCGAGGTTTCATCTGTGCTTTTTGACTTTCAAAGTGCATTTAAAGAAAGAAATTGCCCAGTGTCTCCTGGTTCATTGTTCACTGCTTGTCCATTGGGGTGTTCAAATATGCGAAATAGAAAGACAACCTTGGTTGACAGTTCTGCCAAACGCCAAGTGTTCAGGTTGATTTTGCTGCCATTTTTGTATTACAGTACTTTCTGAACCTGTTTTAGCATCTTAAAATCTCCCAGTGAAAATTACAGTTCTGAGCTCAGTATCATAGAATGGTTTGGGTTGGAAGGGATATTAAAGATCCTTAAAAGAGACCTTCCCAGTTCCAACCCCAGTACCTTTAAAGCTCAGTCACACCTGTTTAATTAAGAGGGTCAATCCTTTTATAATGATTTTCCCTCAGTAGATGATAGATTGAACAGATTGAGAGATAATGGATTGACAATGAACAGATTAATACAGAAATGTTTTTGCTTTGTACGGTAAGTAACGTATAAAACTTCTTTGTGTGTTTATCCAACTTCAGTTAACTGATGGTGAAGTATTTGCTGCAAACTCAATGCATATTTTAGGAAACAAAACAATGCATTAAAACTGGCATTAAAACTGCTGCTCTCTCCTGGTAAGGGCAGGGACTGATGGGTGACTCCTGAAGTCCGAGGTGGGAAGGCACAGAGCTGTTCACCAGCACAGTGAGCCCGTCAGGAGCTCAGTGGTGGCTTTGACCTGGTCCTTTCTATTTTGCATCCGCATGTGGCACAGCAGAGCCCGGGTGAGAGGCTGCTCGTGCCAACACAACCTGCAGCTGCACCCAAACCAACACGGCAGCCGCTGCTTTGATCCCTGGCTTGGCTCCCAGCTGCTTTAACAAGGCTGTGCTTTGGTTCCACTCCCGTGCAGGCGCAGGGAGAGGCACGCCAAGACAATAGACATCGCCCAGGAGGAGGTGCTGACCTGCCTGGGCATCCACCTCTACGAGAGGTTGCACCGGATCTGGCAGAAGCTGCGGGCCGAGGAGCAGACGTGGCAGATGCTCTTCTACCTGGGGGTCGATGCTCTGCGCAAGAGCTTCGAGGTAAGTCGAGTTTTACCTGACTGTATCTAACTCCATTTTCACTGCAGTTCTTTTTTTCTGCTTTCTCCACATGTTAGGCTTCGAGGGTGTTGCAGTGACTCCCTCGTTGAGTTGTGTGACATCCCTGCACAGCACAGCTGTGTTCTGATGTGAAATCTGCTGGAATGGAAAAGATTGAGCCTTGCTTTTACTTTCAGGCTGCGTGTTGTAGTACACTGAGCCTTCTGTGTTTTTAATTCACAGTTATTTCTGTGTTCTTCTACGTGATGGCATTTAAAGTAGGTCAGGTTGCAGCAGTTTTTATTTGGTTTATGAGTAAAACTGGAGGATGTGCCTTTGAATTACAGACATGATTGTTAACTCCTGCATTCCATGTGTTCCAAATGCACTCTGTGGCATCACATGGTTCCTTTAACATATACCAGTAGTTCATGTTAGTCAATAGTTGGTATGACAGATCTTTTTTGTTACCTTTATCTTCCCTTCATAATGACTGTTCTTTCTCAAAACTTCTAAAACATCAGAGAAGGAGGAAGAAAATCAGTTTGGATTTGGTCATAGTGGAACCCTAAACTAGTTCTTGGAGTTTTTTTACAAGTAATTTGTTTCTTAAATACCAAAAATGATATGGAAGTTTCCTTGGACAGGGAATGCTTCAGCATTTGTGTCAGGTTTTGCCTTGGTGGGGTTTTAAACTAGTAAAGTAGTATGGAGCTGAAAATCCACTGACATTGTAAAACTCAGGGAATTTTACTGGTATGCAAGGATGGCTGTGAATTTGAAATACAGAACTTATGTGGGGCTCTTTTCTAAACTGGGTAGGAATGATGGGGGCTCATTTTGGCTAAAGGAATTTCCAGAGTGATTTGGGGAAAAAAACCCTCCAAAATAAAAGCAAGCCCTCTGAATTTATTTTTGTCTCTGTAAGAGCATCAATCCAGAATAGTTGACTAGTTTAATTATATTCTGTTAACTCTGTACCTAGATGTGGCATTATGATATTTATTCTAAATTTAGTATTAAGGAACTTAATTAGATACTGGCTATATTTTGAGATACACCTACACTTCAGGTTGGACTGCCTAGGAAATGAGTAGATTTTTCACTGCTTACCCTGGATAAAGAGCTGCAGGAATCCTGTCCCAGTAGTTCTGATGTGGCTTTTTTGTGCTGCTGTGTTAAATAATCAGAGTATCTACCACGTAAACAGATCCCAAAATGCATAAAATTCAGCAGCTTTTCACTGAAAATTGTGAATCTGGGCCATAAGTGAAACACAGAGCTCCTCCATACAAATATCTTCAGCAGTCTGAACAGAGGGAATAAATCTGGATGGGCATTTTTCTTCTGTAGTCAAGAGTTGTGTTGCTGGGACTTTATGACTGGCTGCTTTCCTCCTCCTTTTTTATAAATGTGAAAGCTTGAATTGTGATAACTGCTATAAATAGATCTAACCTCTTGCAAACAGATGGCAGTGGAAAAAGTGCAAGGTATTAGTCGATTGGAACAGCTCTGTGAAGAATTTTCGGAAGAAGAAAGAGTGAGAGAGCTGAAACAAGAGAAGAAACGCCAAAAACGGAAGAACAGACGGAAAAATAAGTGTGTGTGTGAGATCCCTGCTCCTCTGCAGGCAACAGAAGAGAAGGAAATCAATCAGGCAAAGGTAAACGGGGCTTTCAGGTGCTGCATTCATCAGATCTCTGTTCATGGTAGGATTCTTGAGAGGTTTTTACTGTATTTTTGGGAACTAGTTTTGGTTACTGGTGGAATTTAAAACTTTTTCAGATTAGTGCAGCCTTTGTAAAGTAGTTACCTGCAACTCCTCAGCTTTTGGGGGCTCGGGGTTTCTTTTTTTAAATCCTAAATCTGGGGTTTAGCTTATGCCAGAGTATTTTTCAGCTATAACTCCTTTGAGATCACTTAATACAGGAAATCAAATGCTACTTGTAGACAATTCCCATCGAATTTTTGGAGAGGAGGAAGCTTTAATTGACTAAGTGCAATTATTCAGGATATGTTGACTGAACTTAGTTGACTGTAGGTCAGATTACTGTAGGAAGGTTGGTTGGAATTTGTTTAGTTGTCCTGTGTTTGTGAAGAATTCGAAGCAATGCTGTTATCAGTCAGTGCCAGCTGGTTTTTGTTGTGGAAGGAGTGTCCTTTGCAAAGCTGCTTTCAGTGCCTGCAAGTGTGTTTTGTTTGTGTTTTAAGGAGAACTCCAACTTCACAGAAAGCAGTTGCAAAGCCTGTGGTAGCACCGAAGAAGCCAACAACTGTGTAGAAGTAATTGTTACTAATGAAAGCACCTCTTGCACTTGTCCTAGTAGTGGTACCCTATTAGGTTCACCTAAAATCAAGAAAGGTAATGTTCATTGTTATTATTTTTCATTTTTAAAAACGTTTGCTTTTTAGGGGTAAACAGGGCTCAGCTATTTTTAAAAACAATTGGGTTTTTGGAGAGATGCTCCAGTGGAAGGTTCCCTTGGTCTATAGGAAGGTGTCCCTGCCCATGGCAGGAGGGTGGAACGAGACGATTTTTAAGGTCCCTTCCAACCTGAACCAGTCTGGGATTCTATGAATTCCTTTTTGTAGAGGCATAACTGAAGAACATGCAGCAGTTCCTGTGGATGACAGTGATTTTTGGCTCTGCCTCAGGTTTATCTCCACACTGTACTGGCAGTGACTGTGGCTATTCATCGAGCATGGAGGGCAGTGAAACGGGCTCTCGGGAGGGGTCAGATGTGGCCTGCACCGAAGGCATCTGCAACCACGATGAAAATGGTAGGTTTGGGAAGAAGATAATAAAGCTTTAGTGTCCCCAAAACTGCAGTAGCTTAGAATTAACATCTCCTTTTGCAGGAGACGATCCCTGTGTCCATCGCTGCGACGACAAGGAGGAGGATGGGGACAGCTGTGTGGAGTGCTGGGCTAACGCGGAAGAGAACAACACAAAAGGCAAAAACAAAAAGAAGAAAAAGAAAAGCAAAGCTTTGAAGTGTGAGAATGACCATGTAAGGACCACGGCTCTGCCAGATGCTTCTCTAAATGCTTACGTTTGAAAGTAGTTACACAGGAGGATTTTAAGTCCCGTTTGTGCTTAACGCTGAAAACGGGGTAACAGGGATCTCCTGTTCCCTCTCCATCCAAGTTTTGGAATTGAGGTCCTTCCTGGAGTAGGTTGTGGTGGAAAGAATCTCTACTATATTCCTAAGCATGTGCACTTTTGCTCACTCTCAGTGAATTAACATCCCTGCCCATCCCAGGCACACATTTAAAAATGCCTATCCTTGCTCTCCTTTGAACTCTCCCCTTTTCCCCCTCTGCTTCCGCCTGAAACTCGAATGCTCCATATCAAATACCACGGGGTAGTTCATTCCAGGCTTGTTTTCCATTTCAGATTCAGAAACTTGGAAGCTGTCTGGCAGATCCAGGTACCAGAGAGACCTCAGGGAATCTCACGCACACAGAGTTCCATCGCGACAAGACCAAAGACACACACGCTGAGAGCTGCTGTAGCGCAGACAAAAGCGGCCAGCAGTTGCCTTGGTTTGAGCATATGAAAAATGTGTCACAGTTTGCAGAACCTACAGAAATGTCACTCGTTCCTGATACTGGAAAAGGTGCCAAAAGCTTAGTGGAACTCCTTGTAAGTAACGGCTCCCTTGGAATTGGAGGTTGTAGCATCCTGCTTTAAGACTCGGGCAGAGGGTGGGGCTTAGAACTCAAATCCCACTGAGGAACTGTTGGACTCCCAGTGTTTAGTTTATTTGCATGGTGCACGTTCTCTGGGAAGTTTATGGCTGAAATGCTTTGCAGGGGAGGAGAAATTGTCCCTGGAATGCAGTGGCAGAAGTGTTCATTGTCAAGGGTTGCATTATTCCATAACATGAAGTGGGCATTATTGCTGCCCTCAGGCCTCAAATGTTACTTCCCACTGCAGGCTCCTTGGACAGCTTTCTTCTATCTCCCTTTCCTTTCCATCTCCTTCCCCTTATTTAGATCCTTTCTGCTTTCTTCCCCCCGTTTTTCCTCTTTCTTTCCTTCCCTTTTCCTCTTGCCTCTGCTTTTTTTTTCCCCTCTTCCCCCTCCTCCTTTTTTTTTTTTCCCTTCTTTCTTTCCCCTCCTTTTCCCCCCAAAAACCTCAAACGAAAATCATCCTCTTCCAATGGAAATGTGAATGATTTCCTGACTTTGTGGCTGCCTCTCACCCCAGGAAGCAGCAGAGGCCCTGGGTGTGAGTTGGGTGGCTGGAATGAGGCACGTGGGACTCGGGCTGTGTGTGTGCCCCCAGATGTGCTGCAGCTCTGAAATCCCCCTTCCCCTTGGCAGGACGAGTCCGAGTGCACTTCTGACGAGGAGCTGTTCATCTCCCAGGACGAGATCCAGTCCTTCATGGCAAACAACAAGTCTTTCTACAGCAACCGGGAGCAGTACCGGCAGCACCTGAAGGAGAAGTTCAACAAGTACTGTCGCCTCAACGACCACAAGGGGCCCGTCTGCAACAGCTGGCTGGCAACAGCTGGAGCCAACTGAGCCCGGCCCCCTCTCTGTCTGTCACTGAAACTCGAGATGACTACTGCGCCTTCTCCTTCCAGACTTAATTTAGTGACTTAACGGCAAAATTTTATCTTAAATTAATGTGATTCTTTTTTTCTTTTTTTTTTTTTTTTTTCTGTTTTTTTTTTTTCCTCTGGGGGAGGCTGGTGGAGGTGATTTCCTTAATTTTGTTCTTTCTCCAGGCTTGTATCTTTAGTTGAGTAGCTGTGCAAGCCTCTCTTCTAATTTAAGCCATCTCTTTTCAGTCAATGTTTCTCTTCCTGTGAGACTTACAAAGAAGCAAACTAGTGGCAAAGTAATGTTGTACCTATAATTCTGTACAGAATGACAAGGAGCTGAATATAAGATTTTACAAAGTAGACATCCATTTGCAAAATGTTTTGGATGTAATATGTTAAAGCGCAATGTGCAAAATTTAAATAAAGAATATTTATTAATATGCATAGTAAAAGTGGGTGTCTATATTTGTACTCTGAGCACTCCTTCCCAGCAGGATGAATTCCCGCTGGTCACACAGGTGGATGGCTGTGTGGAGGGAGGGGTGTAAGGTGAGGAAACCTGGCCTGGGAAAGGACAGATCCTTGCAAAAAGCAGTGTGCCAGGCTCTGTGCTTTTTGAACAAAGAGAATCACCAACTCCCCCACCCTTTCTTCTTTCATAAATATCTGTACGTCAGACTTTTCACAGGTTTGGGGTTTTTTTTCGTTTCTATTAATCTGTTTCTTCGCAAGTCTCTGGGAATTACTTGGGCATCCCTGACCCTTGTGAGGGGGTTGACAGCACCTTCCCAGAGCTGCTCTGCCCTCTGATCCCTCCCCAATCCCACACTCAGCTGGGGGTTGTTTGCAGGGTCTCTGCTGCATTCTCCATGGGCTGATTGGATAAAACAGCCCAGTTTTTTTGGGATGCAGGGCGCTGGAACGCGAAGCCCTTTGAGCTCCCTCCCACCCCAAACCCTTCCCCGGTAACTCTCATCTCCCGGGGGGAGGCAAAGCCCAACCCAAACATTCCAGCCGGGCACGACGCACCCCCACGCTGGGGCTGAGCCCCCGCAAACTCAGCGCACGCACCGTGGTGGGCGTGTCCTCGCGGTGGGCGTGTCCCCGCGATGGGCGTGTCCATGGGCGTGCCCGGCGGGGCGGGGCGGGCGGGCGGTGCATTGTGCGCGGGCGGGCGGGGCCGGGCCGGGGCCATGGAGCGCTGGACCGGCCGCGTCGCGCTGGTCACCGGCGCCTCCGTGGGCATCGGCGCGGCCGTGGCGAGGGCGCTGGTGCAGCACGGCATGAAGGTGGTGGGCTGCGCCCGCAGCGTCGACAAGATCGAGGTACCGGCCGGGGAGGGCACCGGGGCGGGGGCGACTCCCCCCGCGAGGCCGCGCCGGCGGCGGGGCCGCTCCCCGGGTCACCCTCGCCGTGTCCCCGCCGGGGTGATGCCGAATCCCCCTTTCCGGCAATCCCCTCCCTCCATCCCCCCCGCCCTCCATCCCTACCCAGCCCCGGGCTCTCTCTCCCGGAGCCCCCGGCCCCGACGGGAGGGTGGGAGTTGCCCGAGCGAGGAGCGCGTTCAGTTTTGGGGGGTTTGTTTTGTTTTTTGGTTTTTGGTTTTTTTTTCGAGACGCTTCTTATCGTGGTTAAAAATAACACCTGCCCGGCCGGCCCCGGGAACGGGAACGGGCTGCGCGGGTTTGGGGCTTCCAGCCCTTCGGCTGTTTGGGAGACGGGGTATTTTTGTGGTTTAATGATAAAACAGAGTTTCAGCCCTTTGGGTCCTTAACGTGTGGCTCGCCCCGACGAGGGACATCGCTAAAGCCGCGTCAAAAACCTCACGGCGTTGGCTTGAAAAAGATGCTTAAAAGAAGTGTTTTCTCTCGATCCTCCTTGTATTGGGTGCGTTTTGTCGGCTCTGCCTTGCCGTGGTATGAGATAAGGCTTATTTGCTATTTAAGAAGTTTCCACTGAGGTAGGAAATAAGTTGTAGTCAGCTTAAATATTGCCGTGCTGGTTGTTTGGTGCCCAGGGATGCAGAGGAGATCTGTACAACATCCAGGGGTTGTGTTTCCTTAGCCAAGGTGATAAGGATTCACCCTGACTGCGCCAAGAATAAATTGTCCAAAATTCACGGGAGCCAAGGCTTGGCATTGGTGGTGTTGCTGAGTGGGGTTGAGTAAAGGAATGCTTGGTAGAAACCAGACTTTTCCCCCGTTTTTCACTGTGGATCAGAAAGATGCCACTTGCAGAGAGAACACACCAACGTGACTTATTGAACTGTCCTCTGGGGCTTTGCTTCTAATTTTGGACTTCCCAGCTTTTTGCTGCTGTGGTTTGCAGGGAAAGCCGAGCTCTCCAAGGGCTCTCCCACGTGCAGCTGACGGTGTTTAATGTGCTTCTGCAGCCTGGGAGGCTCTTAGAGCCCCACGGTCCCTGGCAAAGGATGCTGTAAAGGATGTTGTTGTTTCCCGTTCCCCTCCAAAAAAGACAACAAAGTTATTTCCAATGTTGCTGTTTCCAGTAGTGCCTTTTCCTTGGGTTTTGTTTTGGAATCTTTTCACTTGGTAAAGAAATCAGTGAAACTTGGTGTTTTCCTTCAGTGCTGCAGAAGAGTTTCCTTCCTTTCTGAACCTCTTCTGGCCAAAACACAGCATGGATTTAGGAATGGGAGTTCCTGTAAAGGCTTTGCCTTTCTGTTTGACTCTGCACCGGGTGCAGCCACGCTTGGGGCAGTGATTTCTGGGGTTGCAGGGGGTGCACAAGTGCTGAGCAGTGCTGGGGCTGCTCACACCTCCCAGCCCTCTTGTCGTGCTTCAGAAACACGTGTTCCCAGGGCAGCTGATGTTTGTCCCTGTTTCCTCCCTCTTCCCTGGGACCGAGGTGTGTCTGCAGTGTGCTGTCATTTGTTTTGGTGGGTGTCTGGACTGTGTCTTGCTGCGTTGCTATTCTGGGTTTATTTATTGTGAAGCATGTTTCCTTAACGAGGAAGAAAATCCCAGAAGTGCTGCCTGCTCGGGGAAGGGAAGGTGGTGGAGCGGGAGGTGACCCAGGGTCACGCTGGGAACAGGTCCATCACCTCGGCCTGGCTGCCAGGGATGCTGTGTCAGCACAGATGGGGCTTTGTACCAGCTCCATGCTTCAAATGAGAGCTGAGCTTTCCTCCAGGTGCTTCACCTTGGGCCTTTCCTTTAAAAAAAAAAAGAAAAAAGGAAGATATTCAGTCTTAGGACTGTGGAGCTGCCGCCGAGGGTTGGGATTTTTGGCTGTTGGAAGCCACGTCAAGGAGCAGGAGCTGGTGTTGGGTGTGGGATGACTGTGCTGTGGCTGGCACTGTGGGTGATGCCAGACCCCATCCCTGGAGCTGCTGCAGGGCTCCTGCCCGTTGGATGCTCCGGGCAGGAGAAGGAGATGGGAAGGGCTGTGCTGTCAGCGCCCCGTCAGCGTGTTCTCACCTTGGTTGGTTGCTGCACAACCAGAGCCATCCACAACCTCCACTCCTCTGCTCTCCCTGGCTCCTGGTTTCCCAAGTCACTGTTGGTCAGGAGCAGGAGGATGGCATCCCTGCAGGAATCCTTGCTGGGGATCCCAGGGATGCTCTGCTTCGGGAAGCACAGCTCGGATGTAAAGGGCAGGATGAGGTTGCAGTGCTGGAGTCTGGGGCTGGAAAGTGGTGATGGAGGGACAAGAGGAGAGGAATATGAAGGAGCTGAGGAGCTGGGGTTGCCAGAGCATCATGGCCATAGTTCATGGAATCATGGAATGGTTTAGGTTGGAAGGAACTTTAAAACTCATCCCATTTTCCCCCTGCCATGGGCAGGGACACCTTCCACTATTCCAGGTTGCTCCAAGCCCTGTCCAACCTGCCTTGGACACTTCCAGGGATGGGGCAGCCACAGCTGCTCTGGGCAACAAAGTGACTGCAGGACAAATCTTGTTGCTGTTTTAAAACTGAATAATTTGCTAAATATCAACGTGGATGATGTTGAATATGATGATGTTCAGAGGAGCAAACCAGGAAAAATATATCGAGGCAGCTTGAAATGGAAAGAGGGCAGAGAGTAGGGTTTAAACCCAGGAATACAATCCTGACTTTGTAGCAGAAAAGCATCTGTTTTCATCAGTGTTCTGCACGAGTCACCAATTTTAAGGTGAAGTGGCTGGAACTCCTCTGTGTTGTGGTTTTATAGCCCACAGTAAACTGGGGACTGAAAGAGCAGGTTGTCTCGTGGAAATTTTAGCTCGGGCAATAAACACTGTGTCAAGATTTCTTAATCTCTTGGAAAATCAGATAAGGGCTTGAGGCAAGATAACAAAGGAATTGCAGAGTTGCGGGTTTGGCTCTAAACCTGTGTGGAGACCCCAGTGCTCTTTATTTGACTTTTGAAATAAAAACGCTAATGCTTAAAAAAACCTGCAGAAGTGTCCTTTTTTCCCTTGCAGTGGCTGGATTTGCAGTGCTGTCCCTCCCTTGCTCCCAGGCAGCCTCGTGTCCCCCCCTCATGCAGCTTTTTTGAGCGGAGGCTCTTCCTGCGGGTCACCCGGCGGTGACTTTAATAGTCAGACATCGAGGAATGAAATATAATTAAAAATGGCTTTATTTTACTTTTGCATGCCAGGAGGTAATTCAGGTTGAAGGCTTGTTTTAAATGCGAAGCCTGGAGGTACTAACAGCTGTCAAGGACTTTCTGGCGTGTGCTCGCTGAGCGTTTCCTGCTCCTCAGACACGGCCACGCGTTCCAAGTCAGGAGCTTTAATGAGGCAGCCGAGCGTTTTTAGCAGCCTGTAAGGCCAGGCTTTTGGGGGAAACTGCTCCCTGGGAGCTGATCACCTTCACAGGGACCCACTTTGCTGGTCACTGGGGTCTCCAGTGCTCAGGGAGACTCCTTGAGATTTACAACCACTCCATCCTGCAGCCAGAAGGCAGAGGATCCCTCTGATGGCTTCACTTCCAGGCTCCTCAACTTTCTTCCTCCCAGTGTTTTCCAGAAGTTTATGTTTAGTGTCTGACTTCTTGCAGCAGCACAAAAAAGGGAGAGTTTCCACATGCGTGGGACAAAATGTTCTCCCCCCTCAGCTGGCAGCCCCCTTTTTTGCTCTTTTATTCCACGTGATCTGTAAATTTTATTTCACAGGGTTTTTCCCAGGGATGGGGGAAGACTTGGGAGGGTTTGTGGTAAAAGCAGGTGTGGTAAGGGCACATGGGTATGCCATGGGTTTTCTCTTGGAGTACAGGGAGGTACAAGGCAGGGAGCTGTTTCCAAAGGGTTTGCAGTTGATGATAATTTTTTATAATTAAAATTAATGTATTTTTATATTTGTAGAGAATGGCAAAAGTGCTGGCAGGAGCTCTCCCTCCAGCTCCAGTGTCAGAGCCCTGGATCCATAGCATGGCCAGGGCTGTCACTGATGGGAGATGCTCCAGCTGGGACAGTCCCACCCACCTGCTTCATTTCAGGCAGCACCT